AGCTCAGTCCTCATCCTCTTCCAAGAAAATAAAGATATAACCACCAGAGGGAAGCAAAAGCCCTGTGGTTCAAACACGCCTCCCTGGCAAAGCTCAGGGCTTTCACTGCCCCTGCATTCAGATATAAAATGATAGTGGGTATGTTCATGAGAGAAGATTTTTCTGAGACCTTTCTTAATTGAGCAATATCTGTTTTTTTCCTGGATATTACTCTGCAGGTTTGTAGGAAAAGGGTACTGTGTTCTTCATAAGAGAGGGAATCGTAGAATCATTATGGTTGGAAAAGACCTTCAAGATCGAGTGCAGCCGTAAAGCCTTTTAACACCATACCTGCTAAACCATGTCCCTAAGTGCCTCAGCTACACAGAGACAGATGAATAAAGAACAACCTTCATGCTGGTGCTCCACAGGGGCTGCTGAAAAGAAATGAGAATTTTATAACACAGAACACTAACCAGCAGCACCAGCAGATGCGCAAAACTCTCAGGATTCAGAGGAATGAAGAGTTCCTTCTCCAATTGCAGTCTTCCTTTTCCATCTCTTCAGTTATTGGCACCAAAAGTTTGATGAATCTCCACCCTGTTAGAGGGGGTGCAGGGATGGAGGAATTAGCAGACTCTAAAGGAATTATGTTCCTGTCCTTCCGTGTCTCTCGGCAAGAGCAAACCTGCCAGAAAGGTTCAAGAAGGAACTGGGCATTTTCATATGCCCATAGTGTCAGAAGAGTAGAAACAAGCAGCTTACAGAATACTACCCTTGAGCTCCCTATTTCCCCAGCAATGAACAAATATAGAAATCTTATCCAACACATGTCATCTAAGCCCAGCAAAATGCTGGCATCTCCAGTTCCCAGCATCAACAGTATAATTTGAAGAAATCTGTGGCATGGTGCTATGTTTTGCCTGTGGCTTTTAAGAAAGAAAAATAAATAAATTAAATCTTGGAAAAATCCTCTCGAGTTAGATGTTCCCAATGGAGTTGGCACCACTCCCAGGATGATCTCACCTGCCCAAAGTGTCTCTTTTCCAGTTCTTCTCATTTGACCTCCCCTCACAGTGAAGAATCTGACATACAGGTTACAACCATGACTGACCAGTAAAATCCTACAGCATCCCCACCGTTTGGATAAGATTTTTTATTGCATAAGGCCCCTGACTCCAACTGTTCCGGAGTTCTTGTCATTCATACTCCAGGCACCAGCAGAGCCCAAGCAGAAGGAACTACTACTCTCCATCTTCACCCCCTCCTTTTCCCTGCTCTGCTTTTTTCTGGTCCAGGAAGGTTCCAGGAATCATCACAAGATGATTCACCCCATGAGGAAGCGATATGAAATGTCAGGAGAGCAGCTGTAATATGATTTCCAAGCAGGTAAGAGGGAAGATGTTTTCTCTAGAGTCAAGTAGGCTGCTCAATAATCTCAGTTTGGTAAATGTGCTTGTTTGCCACGTTTTAGTTTCATCTCCTGCTTTGATCCCTCACCGGCGCCCTGTCCATGCAAGCAGCACTGCAGACTGTTTCCAGCCGTGTCCCTGGAAAACCCTGTCCTGCCAGCTGGGATACTACTCAGGGTGGCAGCCCTCCAAGAGCAGAGTGTGCAGCAGCAGCTTGGAGGTGTCAGGTCTGCAAGAGAGGAGGAATTTGGACAAGGAGCAAAGTGAATAACTGCGCAGTTAACCATTCCAGCAGGATGTGCTATCTTCCCCGCTGATCCTGCGGAACTCCGTATTATTAAGGAGCTACCACCCTTCTCTGGGACAGATGATCCAAAATCCATGTACAGCTGAAGGCCTGTTTATTAAGCAACCTTTTTGGAGAGTTAAATTTTGTCTATGGATTCCACGACAAAGTCAGATGATAAAGTCCCTTGTGGAAATTACAGAATTTACTGGAGTAACTAACTACACCAGGTCTGCACTTTGTCAACCCTTCAGCATGCTCTGAGATGAAACATGCTGCACAGCTACTAGGAAGAACGAGCTAATGCTGGATAATAGCTTAGGCAGCCCCTCAAAACAGCAAGAAATAACATCAACCTGAACTTGAAACTCGATTATATTCTCCTTTATTTCTTAAATTTTAGGAGAGTTACACAACTGATAAGTGATAACAGTTAAGGAGTAATAATAGTAGAAATAATTCAGTTATAGCAAAGAATAAAACCAGTTTCATAGAGCTAGTCCTCCTCTCAAGTCTTGAAAGGAAGCCAAAGTTTGCACAGAGCTGAAAAGAGGGGCTCTAGGCCTAGTTTGCCACATCAGTGGCCTTTGTGTCTCTTCTGACAAACCAATATTGCACCGAGTAGCTCTGTGCCCTCAGCTCTGCTCTAACTTGTTTGTCACTCTTGTAGATCTTTGTAAAATGACCAAATAGCAGAAACACAAGATTGCACTGGGGTTTTATCTGTGCCAGCCCAAGGGGCCCTCCTTGCCTTGCACTCTGAGTTGTCATCAGTCTCCAGACAACACATCTCCAATGGGGCACTGGGAAGGTTCTAATTTGCAAAACCACCCCCCCATTTAAAGCAACATTTTCAAGTACTATGAGGCAGCTGTATAGTTTAGCATTAACAATAATATTAACTTACTATTTATATAATATCTATTCCTTTAGCATTTGTATAAGGGTTGTTATCTATATAACTGCATAAGCTCAGTAACTCTTCAATTTAAGACCTCATCCAAGTCCCTAACACAGGGGCCTTAATCTTTTATCTGTACTTACTTTCCTTTCTGCAGATGAGCATTCCTTCTATTTATGTCCAATTAAGATCATGGCAGTGTCATTTTCATTCATCTAGGGCTAGGATTTGTGCACATTCACTTTCCCCCCTACAAATTGTCATGCAACAAGAAAAAAAAGCAGCAAATTGTCATGCAATGACAAGAAAGAAGCAAACAGACCAAAGAGCAGCAAGGCCAAATGAAACAGAACATGGGTGAAAAAATACCTGTATGGTAATTTTCCTTTCAAGTTAGATAAATTAAATCATGAGAAAAGGATAACATTTTCATTACTACAAACACAAGGGACAAGAATATCAGCTCCAGGAGCTATAATACAACCTAAAATAAGAACCCTCTTCTTTATGAAGAAAGCTTTTGGAAATTTCTTCCTTCCAAACTAAGCCAATCTGGGACCAGCTGACATTTAACATAACCCCTCCTAAGGTCATTGCTATATCCCTGCTCAACAAGAAAAGCTTAAAGTCCACTGAGTTTTAATTACTCTGAGGCACATCCAATTCTCTGCTTTCACTGAGCTGTAGAACTCAGAGATGTATTGGGTATAAAAAGAAAACAGGGCTTACTATTAACTAACTGAACATAAGATACACATCTCGGGGAACCAAGTGGATTATAATGGGGCAAAACTTGCTAAGAGCCCATGAAATGACAGGTAAAGAAGCCTACTGAGCTGCAGCATTCCACTAGTAGAGCAATAACAGTCCATGAAACAGCTCAGGCAAAGCACATTTAACTTCCTCCAAGTGCTGTGCAAATGTTAAAACATCGTCTCTTCACGAGACGCAAGTTAGGGTTCCACATGAGAGAAAGAAAGGCTGAAATGAGAGATAGGAGAAAGCAAATTAATTTGTCTAGGAGGACGCTTGAGTCTTTAGCGGAGTGGGAGCAGAACAACCAGCACTTCTGCACCCCAACTAGTGAGTTAATTGCAAGCCCAGCCCAATTTCCAGGTACAATATCAGCTACATACACTTCATGCCAGTGCAAAAGATCAAAAGGATACAAAGGACATGCAGCATTTGGACTCCTATCTGAATCAGTCTTGGAAATATCTGACCATTAACTCAAATTCAAGCTGATGATCAAAGCAAGGATGAGGAACTCAAAGCTGCTTCTAGTGCCTGTTTCAGAGAACATATTAATTTCTTTCCCCTTAAGCTATTTTGCAGCCTGGAAGTCAAATAAAATATTTAAATGCCTCTGGAGCTTATGAGTAACCCCATTTCAGGCTGATGTCTATATGAGCTGTGCTAAGCAATTTGAACTGGCAAGTAAAGATCTCCAACCTTTGACTCACAGACATGAAAGGGAGGGACAGACACATTAATGGTGCTGACTTGAACCCCGCTGCGCTG